TCTTTTCACCTTGCAGGAGGCTAAAGTTCTCAAAAGATTGTTTATCATTTCAGAAAAACTTTGGATCCAGGTGTCTAGCCAGTGGTTTCTCTGTGCTTAGCATCACAGCTTTCTTGAAAACTTTCATAGAAATCAGATGCTGTTTAAGTACTGTTTTTGTATGTCTTTCAGACATAGCAAGTAGCCTTAATATCAGTAATTATAATTTTTTTTCATACATTCATGTATGAATTTTAAAAATTAACTAAAACTGAAAAAAAATCTGACCCCATGCCAGAGAGGGGAGGTCTGGAGTAAAGTGAGATCGATGGGGTTTGTGCTTTTTTGGTGCCTTTGTTTGACACATTGTGAGCTGTCATCAGGATTTCTCACCCTGGATGATATTTGTTGCTTTAGGGAAAAATTTGTTTCCCAGAGAGAAGGAAACATTTTCTATACAGGAAGCTGTTTTGGTGGGTGATGATGATTTTTAAAGTTACCTATTCCTATTAATAGGTGCTAACCATAGCACAGAATCACTCAGAAACCTCCTCACAGGAAGAGAAGGGGACACATTCTCCCATTTCAGTCAACAATAGAAGTTGCTGAAGTGCTTTTTTTGCCCTGTTTTTCTTGGGCTTGTCTTTTACCTTTACTTTTCTTTGTAGATCTCACTGATTGTAGTGGGCTGGCAAACAAGGTCTAGTTAGTTAAAACTGCTGGGGTTCAATTAAGGGAAGTTTTTCTTTACCTTTGCTGTAATTTTACAATCCATCTAGCAGATAAATCCTCTCCTTTAGTAGTCTGTTAATAAACAAGTTTCAAGCCATATGTGAAAAGTCCATTGTATTTTATTTCCCATAGTGCTGCCTTTCTGCTGCGTAACTTCTGGGCTAGATAATTGAATTGGAAGGGACTCTGCTCCCAAACTATTAATCTAAGTCCCCAGAACTTACAACCTGGTTTGAAGACACAACACTTCTTTCATGCATGCCTATTCCAAAAGATACGACTTTTGATGTCACTTAAAGAAGGATCTTATCCTTTGTTCTCAAAGGATTCAAGGCTTATGTGAACAACCTTGTGCTTTTAAAGTACTCCTGTTGCTAGTGCCAAAATCTTGAGGTTCTCCTCCGCTCACCTCTTGGGTATTAGCTACTGAGTACCTTCCAAAATCAAAGACCTGTGGAAACTACTGAATAAAAGAAAACTATTGAGGTTTTCTGTGTTTACTTAGCCCTATACAGGTTTATACTCATCTGCCTGGGCTGTTTGCCTTCGATAGAAATAATTGAAGTAGAACATCTCTGAATAACAGAATTCTTGTCTTGGTGTTCAACTGCATATACTCGCCTTATCTTGGTATGTTCAAGCTTGGATCTTTGCTTCTAGGAAATCTGATTGGTGTCCAAAGACACTGTCCAAGAAACTGTCCAATCTAGCTATGATGGCCATGCAACACTGAGGCAAGAGGTAGCTGGCCCACTGGCCTGTGTGTGAAGGAAGAGGTGAGGTGGCGTTCTCAGCCAGCTCTGAAGAGCTTTCTCTCTGATACTTCATAAGGAAGCTGAAAATTTCTACATTGTCTGTTCTATATAACGGACAGCAGGAGCATGTTTCCTAGCCTAGTGCCCAGCTAGCCCCTAAGTGTCAGCTCATTCATAGAAATTCCTTGCAGATACTTAATGGGGAGAAATAAGGGTGACCTGTCTGCTCCATAGTAAACAAATGTTTTTGTTTACTTGCTTTAGGAGATGTGAGTAATAAATGGACCATCTAAGATGTGTTAGATAGAATAATTGTCTGAAAGGCCGTGTTTGATATTGGCAGTACTAGGCAAGGCTGTGCTGTATGTAGCTGTGGTGCTAAGCTGTGTCTTTGAATAGATGCCCAGGACTTGGGGAAGGCCTTCCTGCATGTTGGGGAGGTGGCTGCCTGTCTTGCAGCATTTCTAGCTCTTCAATTCTAGGAAGCTCACAGACAGATAAAGGGACTTTAGCAACGTCTGTAGTTAACTATCTCACTACATTCCAATATTTTAGGTAGTTACATACTGACGGTTTTTGGAGGAGTGTATTCTCAGAATGGTGTGAGCCGAGAGAGCTTGCTGAGGAAAGCTAGTCATGGGCCAGAGAGAGGAGAAGGACTTTCTCTGAAGTCTTCAGAAAATGCAAGAATCCAATGCCACACAGCTTTGGTTTGGAAAGAGCTAGTGATACTTTTTTCTGTCTGGGAAGACTGAGCTGGGGAGACTTTCTTGTAGACTGAAGCTAAATCTTACATCCTGACGTGACTGCACGCAGAGTTTGTACCCTGCATGGGTGGATTTGTTTCACATTTATTTCATGTATTGCCTGTGTTCACAGACTGCCCTGGGACAAGAGCAAAGAGGCTATGACACTATAGCAGCAAAACAGGCAGCCAGCAATTCAGTCCTTGCTGTTAGTCCAATATCCCTTCTTGGGAGAGGGATCTGGGTGATACCAAAGAAATCTGCATGCTCCCTCTTTCTTAATTTCCTGGCCAGGGTAGATCAGGAGGCAGCACTGAGTTCCTCACCTCTCTGGTCCTTCCTGAAAGCATTGCCCAGCCCCATAGCAAACATATCATGAATCATTCATCTTTAATAGATTATGCAAATTGAGGACATCAGATCAATGAAGATCAATAACTGCAACCATTTAATTGCCAGCAAAAACATTTTAAGAATGAGCATTATCTGAAGTCCTTTCTTGGGTAATGGCACCATTAATCCAAACATTGGATCCTGGCCTAAGTGTAGAGGAAAAATTCTCCGCCCCTCTTCCCCTGCTGCCTTTCAGGGTGTTGAGGGTTTTTTTTCCCTTTTCATTTCTAGTTTCTGAGTTTCCCCATCATTACCACCAGTGAACAGCTCCCAACGCTAATAGTTCTGCTTTTGTTACTCTGCACTGATTGAAATGTCGCATACAGATTGAGATGTTAGTGCTAAGTTGCCACCTGGGAATGTCAAGCTGGGTCTGAAATGAACTTTTCTCACTCTTGGATCCAGATGGATCAGATGGGGATGTTCTCGAGCTGAGCTGGGAGTGTTGCAGGGAACAGAGTGGGGATGGCACAGGGCTGGGGGGACATGAAGAAGATTTTCTGCCTCAGCCCACAGCCTCTTCCGTGAGGCCAAATCTGTCTCCTGCTGTCCCCTTGTGAAAGTCATGTCCAAAGCTTGTACAGTGTCCCTAGCCTTTGGAAATTTTGCTCTCATGTTAACAGGCTGGAATTCACCACCTTCACTTAGGCAGAAGGACTAAAAAGAATTATTTTAATGGCTCCTTTGAATCTTAAGCTCTGATTTTAGATGCCTCACCTTTGCATCCAACTATGGGGATTTGCCTTCCATGAAGGAAGGACAGTACTGCTCTCCTCTCCTGCTGGCTTTGCCTCCCAAAGACAGGAAAGTATTTCCTGTGAGAGATGTAGATCTGCTAAATGGTAGATGGTCACCAGACGAGTTTTGTCTTGCATATGCAAATACAAAGAAAGGTGGAACAATTTTGCCACAGCTGAGTCATTTTTTTCTGGTTAGCTAAGAAACTGCATGGCTACAAGAATCCTGGATCAAGCCCAATAGCAGTAAAAGCCATGAAAAGAGTCTGGGGATGTCACACTTTCTAGACGCTCCCTAAATATGCAGCTCGCCTCCCCATGGTTCTCCATGACATTTTGCAGAGCTCACACTGGATCTCCTCTGTATTTGGGGTAACTGTTACTAATCCTGCCCGGTCCCAAAGTTCTGGTAGCCAAAAGTTGAATGTAATAATATGGCTTTGCTCAGTGTTTGCTGAACAAGTAACAACAATGCCTGCCTCAGCCATGAGCTGCATTGACCTCAGGGGCTATTAGCTGGGGCTTCTGCAAGAAAAAGTTGAAATACAAACTCCAGTGCTCTTGATTCTGTGCCATCAGAGGACAGCTTTTTGGCCAAGAGGCAACAGCTCCTTCCCTTGCTAACAGGACTCAGACCTTTTTGTCATGAGTTATTTCTCAACTTACACTGCGAGGTTTCTAGAAGGGCCACAGCAGTTGTAGGGCAAGGGCGATACATGAAACCGGGGCGACTCACTCGGGCCTTGCCAGCTTCTCCAGCTACCCAGGAGGAGATGTGCAAATCTGTGGTAGCTGTGTGAGCAGGGAGCAGTGGTGAGAGGGGTGAGGCCTGAGAAGGCAGCTGTGGCACCAGAATCTCTCCTCATGGCTCCGGGCACGCACAGGGCAGGCAGTCTAACACTAGTATCAGGATGGTGTGCCCTGCGGCCCCAGGACAACCCTGTGCCGCTCAGGTCCTGCACGTGCCACCAGCGAAGAGGAACTTTCTGTGGAGCAGCTGCTGCAGAAATTGCCTTCTACTTCTGTGCATCCCTATTCCTCCACTGTCTTGCACTTGCTCTCATTTCCTACTCTCCCAGTCACATCTAAGTTTAATGCGCCCACACATGAGGGAAGGGGGAAGGCTGTGAACAAATTTCTTTTGCCAGCTGCAATGTTAGAGATTCATGGGCTTAAGGAAGAGGAAGTTTAACAGTCACAGTTCATCAGACCTCAGCATTTAGTTTGCAAATGCCCCTTCCAAATGCCAGGGCTGAATAAAACTTAAATTAGTTCTCCCCGAGATAACAAGGTGCAGATCATGGGTAAGCCATGACCCTCTTGTTCTCAGACACAAAGGAAAAAATCACAGTGTGTATTTGGACATACCTGTCCTCCACCAATATCCATCCCTAAGCCCCATCTGGGCGCACAAGTTCCCGATTCACGCCTGGGTTTGCCTGTCTTTGGGTCACAGCTGGGCACCTCTGGGTGTACCCAAACCCGCCAATACTCTAAATTTCAAGCTTCTCTTGAGCCCTTACATCCTCCACAGTCTTTCTGTCTCTTTCCATGTTTGCCACAGAGGGGTATCTTGCATTAGCAGAAAAAGCAGAAGCTAATGGTGATGAGGGAAATAAATAAAAAGCTTGGTTCTGCTGTTTGGTCAGGCAGCTTACCGGTCACCACAGGGTACGTCTGGGGTCCTGACACATTTGTCCCCAGGTCTGGGTTAGCAGAGGTGGATAGACTTGATTTGACTTCATCGAGACCAGGGGTCAGAGCTGGGAGGGAGTACTCATTACCCTGGGGAAGAGAGGAGAAAGACAGCTCGCTATTGATGCGCCGGGAGAAAGGGAAGGGTGTACAGATGGGGGGGAGGAAGAGGAGAGATGCAAACCCCTGCACAGATGGAAGCGGAGGAGGAGGAGGAAACGGAGAAGATGAAGTGACAAGAGGGTTGTGGGGGCGTTCCTAGGATGAGCTATCCCACCCGCCTGTGTGCCGCTGTGAAGGGGAAGAGGGGTAAGGCCAGGCACAGGATCTGGCCCGTTATCTGTGGTATGACTGAGCCTTCGTTCAGTGCTGTGGGGATAGGGATGGCTGCCTGTGCCAGCCCAGGGGAGAAGAAAGGGGAAATCCACATCCCCTCCTCTTGGCTGAGCGGAGGCGGGAGGTGTTTGCCCTGGTGACAAGGACAGCTGGGGCAGAGGACTGCAATGACATGACTGGGACAGGCGGGCTGTAGGAAGCAGCCAGCGTTGGCCCACTGTAGCCAGGCTCTCTGCTGAGTTGTCTGCCTCCTCTCCGCTGTTACCTCTGTCCTAGCTCTTTAAAAACAAACAAAGAAGCCTCATCCCCTGCCTCTGTCACTCTGTGCATTGGGGTATGAAATTGGGGAGGGGGGAGCCACATGGCTAACAGAAGGGTGGGAGGGGGAGAGCCATTGAATCTGAAAGGGTGTCCTGTCCGAAAGGCTCTGGTAATTGCCTTTTTATTGTGGCAGACCAGACGCGGGAGCGGGAGAAACCGGGAAGGCTACAAAACAGCAGGAAAAGTTGCTCTGATTAATATTACGTTAAATTAAAACTGATTTTCTGCTCTTTCTGCTCTGTTTTTTTCCATGCGCTTCCCCAACACCCTCCCCACATCTCCCCCTCCTCCAGCAGGCTCCCCGTACGCTGCCCCCTCCCCGCCCCTGTCCCTGCTTGGCGAGGACTGCCTAGTCATTTCCAATTCCTTCTCGTATTGATCTTCCTGTAGAAATCAGTTTTGTAATTAGCTGCAAATTAGGCCTTCTACTGGGGGTGAGCCTGCCCCCTGATTTATCACCAGAGTAATTCGCTGTGATCGGAGAGAAATTAAAATGAACTCAATTAGGCTTCGGATTTGCTTTATGGGCCCTGCTCAGAGTTTCAGGGGGAAAAATGACTGTGCTGGTGCTTAATAGTCTAATGAAAGTAAATAAAGGTTATTCATTGTAATAAACCCAGGGACTCTGGGATGAAGGGAGTCCACAGCCAGCGTCTCCTTCTCTTCCTTTGTTGGTTTATGGCTTGGGGCGGTTTAAAAAGACTTTTGATTTTCATTTTATTAAGACAAACAGCTTTTGGGATAAAAGGCCGAGGGAGTGGGGGAGTAAGGGAAAGGGGGGGGGCAGAGCTGCAGAAGTGTGGAAAACTAGGTTGGAGATGGGAGTCGAGTCTCAGCTTTGGGCCATGAAGGGAAATGCTCCGTCAAAGCCCGACCCTGTGGCTCGCTGGTCACCAGCGTGATCTGAGAGTGCAGGAGTTTCTGTGCAGTGCTGTGTGCCGGTGAACATGCATGGCAGTGTTTGCGTGTTCATGGCAAGAACATGCCCGCATACCTGCAGGTGTGTGTGCAGAGGGAAAGGCAGACATGGGGATTTAGGGAGAGCACAGTGTGCATGTATACGGCAAGTTCACAAGTGGAGGTAGAGCTCGTGTATACACGTGCATCAGCACAGTGATATATTTACAGCTATAAAGTGCTGTGCTGTAAAATGTAAATGTGATGTATATGCAATAACAGGTCAGTGTGAGAACAAGGGGTGAAGAGGGGGAGAGTGATTTCGGTGAGGGAATCTCCCTGCCATCATCCTGTGGGTGCCTGTGGGTCCCCATTACCAGGCTGGGCCCTCACCTGCTCAGATTTGATGTGTTCTGATGTTTGAAAGACGTCAGGGTAAGAAGGACGCTCAAAAACTCGATCTAAAGCTTCCAGCTGCTGCTGGGTGAAAGTGTCGCCACGAAGGTGCTTCCGCAAACTGTCCACGCTGCTCTGGGAATCTCCATTGGGAACTGAGCCCTCGGATACATCTGCAGGGCACAGACAGAGAAAACGGAGTTAGCACCACCCTGGCTCGGGTCAGCAAGGGATGCGGGACAAGGACAGAGTGGGGCCCTCCGCCTCCAACCAGGGAGCTGTGCCACTCCTGCGGGAAGGGGAGGCTGCGGGGACCCGAGGGAAGCCCCCTCCTGTCTGCTGGAGCTGGGGGCTGCTCCCGCGGGCTCCGTGGGACTCTCCTGCCCAGGGTGAGTGAGGCTGTGGAGAATGGTGCTCGGCTCAGAGATGAGTTTCGGTTCCGCTGATTTTCAGTGTTAAAAATTGCCGAATCTCCATTGCTGAGCATAAAATGGGAGCAAAGCACAGCGATTAGCATCGCTGGAAGGCTGCTGGAGAGGCAGCTCACGGAGAAACCAGAGTGCTGAGGATGGACCTGTACTGGAGAGGGCTGAGGAAGCCTGGAATGGAGAAGGGGCTCTCTTAGAGCTTGGAAGGGAGTCAGTCTCTGTTGCAGCTCCCCGGTCCCGACAGAAGTTATATCTCCTGTAATTTCCTTCTCATCTGATCTTGTCCTGTCCCAGATGAGTCTTTCATCCCCCTCAGATAACAGGAATGATCCTGTTTCTGACTCCATGTTTCACCAGAGACAAGTCTCTCCCTGTGGAGTGTCTGTCCTATCCAATGTACGTTGGTGTCTGTTATGATCTCTGTCCCATTCTCCTACATGTAGCTAGTGATTTATCACAACCCATATCTGTTATAAAACTCCCTCCAAAATGAGATGAATCTTTGTCTGTGTTCGTCCCCCTTCCTATCCAAAATGAATTCTTGTATTACAAAACCTAGTCCTACTCAGTGGGAATCGGCCTTCCTGGTAATCCTTTGTTCTTACTACCAGAAAAGAAGCATCACCAGAAGTGCATCTCTGTCCCTGCAGCAGCCCTCTGACACAGTCCAATCTCACTGCAGTGCCTCCTGCCACGTTCCAGGTGTCTCTATCTCTGTTGTGCCATCCCACGTCTCTCACAGCCCACTCATCCCCTCTGAGGTGAGTCCATTATAAATGCCCTGCCCCAACCAAAGTGAATCTTTCCCTGTGATAAACCATCTTATCACCCACCTGTTTTTGTTTTTTTTTTTCCCTGTTATCCCCCAACTCAAATGAGGTGCATTTATCTCGGTTATAACCCCTTTTTATCTGAAGTGAGTGAGTCTCCTGCTATTAGCATCTGTCACATCCAAGGTGAGTCTGTCTGTTATAACCTCCTGTCCCAGCTAAAGTGAATCTTCCTTTGTCATAATACCTCATCTCATCTGAGGCAAGTCTGCTCATTATAATCTTCTCCAACTGTGCTGAGTATCTTTCTGCTGTCACCTCTCAGCCTAACTTTGGTGAGACTGGTTATAATCCCTTGTCTCATCCATGCTGATATACCTCCATACCCTCCGCGCTGAATGTCTACCTACTGTGCTTCATCAGACAAAAGTCTGACTGTCTTATCACCCTGTCTAACCTAATATCAGGTTTTCCCTCTTAGGCTGTGATTACCTTCCTGCTTTTTCACTAGTATTCCTCATACTTCAGCGTTTCTTGGTGGCTTCCTTCCAGTCTGTGTATCTCAGAAACTTGCTGTCTGTCAAGAAAGTGATTGAGGGATCTATGTAGACCTTTTCCCTCTTCCATGCAACTGTGAGTGTTCTCACGGGCAGATGATGCTCCCAGGAGCCTGGAGTGGCATTCACTGTGCAACAGCCAGAACCATGCCACTCCGCTGCTTCATCTTTTAGCTCATGGATGGTGCCAGGATGGGTATTTTCCTGGCATAGTTAGTGCCCAACTGGTGGCCCAGAGTTATAACTGAGCCTGCTGCCTTCTGGCTATGAGATATATCCGTTTATAGGTGATTATACGATATGATATAATCAATAGTACATTATATACAGTAACGTAGTACAGTACCACTCGCAAGACCATAGAAAATATTACATATTGATTTGTCCCAGCCAGCAGCCTTCCCTCGAGCAGCCCCTTCTCTCTTTCTTTTCTATCCCTAGCCAGAGCAGGGCTGTTTACTGGCACTGATCCCTGGCATTTTCTCCTCTCATCGGGCTTTTTTGCACAAGGGAAAATTCTCGAGTTCCTGAAAGCTGGAGTTCATGACAGATTTGACTAAGCGAAAACAAAGCAAAGGCCAGGTTTGGTGGACTGCATACTGTGTGTGTCAGTGCAGTCTTCGTGTTTTAGATGGACTGGGCTGTTACTGCATGGGGTGCCTTTCAGGAGGACTAGGGTAGCTCGAGGCTCATGCTCCCAATTCCAGCAGGCACTTCTCTCTGGTCCTCCCTGCAGAAAGCTGGCACAGAACTCCTGGGTCCAGGCTCGGAAAAAAAGATGTGTGTTTCTGTATCAGCGCTTGTCTCAACCTGTCTGCAGGTGAAGCTGCAGATTTGAGGATTTTTCCACGTGTCAGTCAGTGTGCATGACTGTGTACACCATGATGCTGATACACATGGGTTTCTTTGCAGTAGATCATTATTCTGGTATTCGTTAGATTCTGCATCACCGTACATGCCTGAGCAGCTGTTTGTCTGTGGCAGCTGGTTTAGGCTATATTTGATTTTCAAGGATGGCAGCTGTACACTGTGCGTGGTGTTTGGTGTGAGTGGACGGGTGTTCACGTATATGGTAAAACTTCCACTGATTGCCATTAAACTGGGTTTTACTCCTAGTGAGTTGCCCTGGGTGGTTACACAGATTAGTGCACACATGCACATGTTTTTGCAATTCCTGTCTACCTGCAGAGCCCTGTGCGTGCGTGTCTCCTGCGTGTGCACAGGCCATGCCTTTGTGTGAAGAAACTGAAACCACAGCTTTCCCAAGTCACTGTAGGAGTCTCTTTTCCTTCATTTATTCAGGGGCCCTTCAGATCTTGACAAATCTGTCACTCTAAATTTGCGAGAGATTATGGTGCTCTCTCCCTAGCATGGAGAGAGGTGATATATGATATCTGCTGCCCCTATTGATTGCCTGATCTGGTGGCAGAGGGCTGGCGAAATGAACTTGAAATGAACATCATGCCTCAACTCATTGTGCGTATAATACACTACTTAATCCCACATTTTTCAGCCGCTATGGAATTCAATTGATCAATCATGTCCCTCTGATAGTACTGTTTTAGGGGTTATTGCTGCTCTGCTCACTGACCTTTTTATTTATTTATTTATTTGTGTCAGCGTGTTTGTGTGTGTGTGTGCACGCATGTAAGTGCGTATGTGTATTTGGGAAACTCAGGACCAGCTGACAAGAAAGGACCTGTATAGTCAGTGGGAGATGAAAGAAAAGGATGACGGGAGGAGAAAGGGAAGGAACAGTGTTAGATAAGAAATCAGAATGATCAAAGCAAGCAAATAGATAGGGAGAGGTGGAAAAGTTGTGAGGAGAAAGGCAATGCTTTAGTTTAGGTGGGAGTTCTTGATATGGGGGGGAGGGCACTCTGCCATGGCCTAGGTTTTAAAATCTACAAAAGAAAAGAAACTTTTGACAGAGGCCTGTAGACTACCTTGAGGTGGACCTTGTCTAAACAGCTTGCAGTAGTATTGGACTTAATAATGGTAGGGCACACAAATCCCAAACTTCTCAGAGCAATAATATGAGCTGTGCATATGGATTTTACTTATGAAGTGGAAAAAGTTTCACAGAGATGATCCTGAAAGACAGATTTAGATGTCTGTGTTGCTAACGCTGAGACATTCACAGTCACGGATCATTATATTTTCTTCAAAACCAAAGGATTGTAAATCCCCTGTGTTTGTTTTCTGGTGTCAAAACCTGTAGAGGATGCATTTTCATTTTTTCCCTGAAACTGCAAGGGACAGACACTTATCTCTGGTTTTAGATCAAAGTTGCAATTCTCATCTAAGCGTATGACTCTGTGAGCTGGACTATCAGGAAAAGCCTCAAATACTGTAATACACAAAGTATGGGAACTGACAATTGCATGGGTATGAGCAAACATGGCAGTAAGGAACAGAGAGAACTTTGGGGAGGAGATGGGGTCCATCAAAGGACTGTGGGTGAAAGCAAAGGGAGGGCTTGTGGGGAAAATTTGAGTTGGGAAAGACTAGCAGATCCCACGCGGAATGGCACTGTGGTGGGCAACAGTCGCTTCAACTGATGAAGAACAGTGCTAGGAATAAAAGCTTAAGGGATGGGGATTTGCCAAGAAAGCAGCTCTTGGAAGGGGTGCTGTGGGTGAAGCAAGGCTTCAGCTGCAGGATGAGTCTGGAGATGCCACCTAAGTAACTGCACTAGCTGTACCATTAGGAAGCATCATCACCTTTCCCAGTTCCCTTTTACTGGCAAGGGAAACTGTGGTACTGTGACGCAGGGACACCTCTCTCTTTAATCAGAAGGATCTTAACAAACAGCTTGAGAGGTGAACCATGGCCTCGGTCACTGTGTCCCTCACAAGAGCACACAGTTGTTGTCAGCGTGATCAGGACTGGCCTTGCACATGTGACAGGAAACATCTCTCCTCCCGAGGGGCTGCCGAGGGAGCACACACAGCCAATGTTCAGCGTAAACCTTTGACACAAGACACAGAAATGCTCCACGGGTGTCACAGAAGTATCCTGACAGATAACAAGGAAATGCTGTGCCAGAGGACACAGGAACAATCTTAACTACATCTGACACAGGGAATATGCCCATTAAATAGCACCAAACCAAAGAGACATTCCCAGGTCTGGACGCCAGAAAGACACCATCATGTACAAGTAGCACAACGCAGCGTAATACGGTTACTTCCCTTGCTCAGGGTGGGACCAGGCCATCTCAACAAACAATTCAGAAGTATTGCTGAAGGAAGACCTTTGTAGCACAGAAACATGTAGGAAGGTCATGAGAAGCTGTGCAGCTGGCACACAAACATGGAGATACTGTTCTCTTTTGGGGCAGGGGCTATTACCGGCCCCGTGACATGTCTGCCCGCTGCCTCGTGGGGCCCCGATCTCAGCTGGGGCCTCGCAGCAC